CAAACAAAATGCGGCTTGTTGATAAGGGAAGCGGGCAAAACCACGCCTTAACAATTCGCGCTCAGTTTAAGAGAGTACCTTGGAAAACACCAGGACACCTGAGAAATCCTCATGTCAAAAAAAAGAATGGATCGTGCTCCGCTTCGTTCGGCAAATGGAAGCACAAATCATCGTGGGAAAAACGTCTTAAAACCTGATATCTGAAAAAGCCAAATTGAATAACCGATGTGAAACTCATCAATCTTCGCAGAAACAGATCACCAGTAGGGTTTGAGATCGACCTTGATGCATGCACATTTGTTCAGATACGAACAGAGGAAACGTAAATGACGACGCCTTCAGTCAAAGTGAGATTAAGTATAAGATTCCAGGAGAATATTCAGTCATGTAGTCGCAAATACAGTAGATTCGTCAGCCTTCGAAAAATAGTGGTCAACTCAGTCACTTCTGAGATTTACGCCGGACTTCTTCAATGTGTTTATTCGTTATTGCACAAGAAACCTTTGGATACACTTGCGCTTGTTATAGCAAGACGGTCCAGTCCTCCGCATGCTCTTTTTATTCCTCGGACGAAAGTTATTACTACTCATGCGTATTTTATACACTCCGGCATCATTTAATTTTCTGATGCTCGAAACCTATCCAGACTTCTACACAAGAGTTTTCTACTACTCGTTCTTTGATTCATTGCATGGCGTCTCATTCGGCAAGGTCTGTGGTAATATCCATCACTTTTGTAGCATGAGCGCTTTTTGCACTTGGGTTTGTTGTAGATAGCATTTTCCTGCGCGGTCATAACGGCCTCCAAGTAAGATCAGAGGTAAATTATTAACAAAGAATGTTACTCTTCTGCCTGTGCGCTGCTAGAGGGAAGACATTACATCGATGAATCGTCAGTGGACGGACAAAGCTCTTCGTCTCGAACTTTCATGCAGACGGTCGTGTGCGCAAACCCTCGTTTGTTTCTTCAATGAAGGAACAGTTGCACAGGCCAAGCTAACTATAAGGATAACATGCCCCCACCAGACCTCCTGTATCATCCCTGCTCGAAGTCCCGTAGGCTTAATGATTATCCCTATCGGATGTAACCTTCTCAGCCTGGAAATTAAATTATGTTTACGTCCGAAATATGAATGCCAGGGCCTCTTAACAACTTCAACCAGTGGCAGAAGTAAAGTTTTTGCAACTACGTATTTTCAACCCTTTCTGATAATTGAAACATAACAATATCGCTCGAAACATCATACATGACGACTATGGCGCACTTGTTAACAGCAAATATAGGTGAATATTTATCTGAAACAGTTAAATAAACCTATCTGTAAGCGCATATATCATCAGCAAGGCAGTGAAACGCTCATATACCAGAATACACTCAACGTCCACCAACTTCAGCGTTTTTGTTAGATTTCCCTTGTCTTATTTCCGACCAAACTCGACTGAACTAATAAATTATTCCAGCAGAAACAATTCTTTAATACTCTATGGTTCTAGAGTAGACCATTCTTGCTAACATTCAAGTCGCAAGGCCTTTCGGGCTTGATCCTGCAGGAACAGCAATCCAAAGGTCTCATAGAGGAGGTAGGCGAGAGAAGAATGCAGTTACTGTTCCAGTTAACTGGCACAATGCTCCCAGTATTCAAATTTTCGAAAGGCAACAACTGATATTGGACCTTACAGATCAGGCAGAGTCATCCCACTGCTCCTAGGGTGCGTCGGGGGTAGAGGCACGGATTCATTTATCTTATCACTAATATAAACCATCTTACCAGCAAAGCCCTGTCTGGCTTGGTCTGGGCTGTATTGCCCGGACCGAGCTGAAGAGCACAAAACGTGACACGTCAAATGAACTTCGATGGGGGAGGTTGAACCTGTGGGTCACTCGAGGTCCGCCTCCTTAAAAAAGTTGTGCGCGGCGTAGTATTTTGCTTCTCTTTTTCATATTCCTCTAGGCAGTGTCAGTTGTGCCCAGTTAAGATGTTTCTCCGTTTGAGTTCCTAATATTGCACCGTGCTTCAATGTTCACGACGGAGAGTTTCATACCCTGTTGGACCCATCCCAAATTCTGGTTACTAGTTAGCCGTACTACCCCAAAAGAAAGATAGATAGCCTCCAAGTGGCCCACGCAAGCAAAACCTTTAGTTTGTTCGCCCAGTGTCAGGACCATTAGGTCTACCGTCGGGGTTTTCTCGGCTGGAAGATATAAATATTTAGGATTAAAGCAGTATATTCAGATCCAATGGTAGCACAACAGATCAAGTAAATTCCTCCTGAAAGAATTCACCATAATCGACAGGGCTTCGGTCCCGTTCATCATCATTCAGACCTACCTAATGAAAGGACCATGTACGGGGAGTTTGTTTACGACATGGCTAAAAACCATACTATCTGACTGTTGTCCTAAACACCCCCACGCCAAGCTGCTATGTGGTCAGTGGCCTCTTAGTAACGTGTGCCAGCTGTTAGGGGTTGTTAATTTACTGCGAACGTAAAACCGTTGTTGAGATCTCTGACTTTCCCCACCCGTTAGGGATCCGCAAGACACAAATTGTCAGAACTTCTGTTTGTTGGCAGAATCCGCCCCAACCCCACGTTATCGATAATATCATGATGTAGTTATTGTTTTTTTATTCTAGCAACACTTAGTAGGGATCTCCAAGGGAAGGTAGGTAAGTCATAGAACCGCGCGCGGATACTCCGGCGAGCAGTAGAACGTTTTGCCCTCTAAAACGTGGGAACCCCTAGTTGCCAGCTCCGCAGTGTCGGCAGCTGGCCAGTATTAGATTATCGCTGTGATAAACAATCAAGTTTAGGGCTGTGACATCATCGTCCTGCAAATACCTATCAACAACACTGCTACATGTCATTGCTTCTAACTATTCCACATTCAAGGACACTGTATAAGCACACGACCATTATAAAAATACGTATAATAACCTTGTTACTGACATTATCTGGGTAGTATGTTACGGTATTGCTTGTCTATGTTGAGCGCGGCTGTCTTCTTATACCATCTTGCGCAGCAGAGGGGCATTTCTAGCCCCATGCCTAACGTTCTTCCCATCTTACCACCACCAAGTCTATTTGGGTCTCTAAATTTCGAAATTGTGTTGTGAGGAGAACAAAGGGCTTACTGAATATTCAAGAACCGTATTTCTAAGATATGTCGTCTCCAGGCGGGGAAACCGTGCATTTAAGTAAAGCCGCCCCCCTATATGTTGACTGTAGCTGAAATGCAGGCGGGTTAACCAAGTCTATTAGGTGCTATCAGGTCGAGCTTAGTTGCGTGCTTTCAGTAAAGAAACGTACAAAACTGCATAATGCATTTTTATAATCGCGCATTAAGCGAGAGGTACGGCGGATTTTCCATCCGCGTAGAGGTCCTTTCAAGGAAGAGTTTCCAGCCGTCTACACGACATAACAGGAGCCAATGTGTCCCTTGAAGTCGTGACACTGGACACAAATCCTGTCTCGACCGATGTTCACTCTGACACACGGCCAGTGCTGGGA